AAGCGGAACGAACACATGTTCCCATGTCTCGGCATGCTAGCAAGACAAGTGTTATCTGTTCCGGTATCAACCGCAGCAGTTGAACGAGAATTCAGTGCTAGCGGCAACATTCTAACCGACTTTCGAAGTTGTCTTAGCGCTGAATCTCTTGAAACACTGGTTTGCAACCAAGATTGGCTCTTGGCAAGACGTCGAGCTCAAGAGTCATCGTACCTACTCGAATCGGAGCATTACATGAATGCAACAACAGATGGAAGTCCGAGTTCTGAAGAATAAGTAATAATTTTTTTATGTTAATGTAGATATGTAATTAGTTTTTTTAGGTGAGCGATATATAAGCTCCTTCGAGGGTTTCTTTACGGTTCTTTACCTCGTCGCTTTTTTTGAACCGTCAGGATATTAAATGTGGTTGTTCTTCAGTTAGTGTATTATTCATTTAAAATATTTAAATAACAACTACATTTTTAGATTTTTTATTTCATTCTTTCCTTAAACAATTGCAAATTTACAATTTTATACTTTAAAAATTTTAAAAAAAAGCAAAAAAAAAAATAGGAGGGGGGCCGAAACCGGCCGGTCCGGTACCGGAACCGCCGGTCCGGGAACCGGAACCGGTACCGGCCGGCACGGTGACGGTTCCGGTGACATGGGGTGGCGGTACCGGAACCGGCGGTTCCGGAACCGGAACCGTACCGGAACCGTACCGTGTCCACCCCTAGTCACCACGCTACCTACTCCACCACCCACTGCCACCCCCGCCGCAACGTTGTCACCCAGCTGCCATCACACTACCAATTTCGTTGTCACACTTTCCAAAGTTTACTAATCCTATAATTTCTAGTAAAATTGTAAAATGGGATGATTATAAAAATGGTAAAAAGGTTGAAATCAGAACAACCAAAATCTTCTGGGAAGTACATTACTACGTGGGCAAAACCATGGGTAGCATAATGTGAGGAAGTAGAACATTTAAAAGCTTAGCTTCTAGTAGATCCATCTTAAAGATGCTCCACCAACCGTCGTCGGCTTTAATTTGTGGTGGAAGTAGACGGTGGAATCATCGGACCACTTAGACTAACCAACCACAAGGACAGGGGATAATTCATCCAGCCGGATCGGACTGGGAGAAAACTACAATATCGCCTATCCCATTGTTCTTCGCCTCCGGTTTCCGTTCTCACTCTCACTTCCTCAGTCCTTTGCCCTCCTCTTCAAACTGAATCGACAAAATAGGTTATTGAATCGCAATCTCCGTCTTCTCCGTTTTTTTCCGCCCTGTTGAATCGCTCCTTTCTCGATCTTCTCCACCCTATCCTATTCCGGCTGCTTCTCAGACCGTCACGAGAATCGGCGGCAATCAAGTTCCGCAGTACGCTCTTATACTTTTTAAAAAAACCACCTGATTTTTTTGCTAAAGGTTTCTTCTGCTAAATCAGTATATTCTAATGGTTTCTTCAACTAAATCAGTCTCTATTATTCAATAGTCTTTAAAAGTACATTGTTTGTACTTATCTCTATGCAAATAGTAGCACTAGAATATGAACTTTTAGTTGGTGCGTGGCTATCCAAAAGTCTCCAGCTTCTATATACTACCTCCGTTTCTCAAAAGAGTTCTTCTTTTGACTTTGGGAGAAAATAAGGAAGTGTTAAGTTGTAGTTGACTTTCCAATTTTGCCCTTAATGTGATGGGTAAAAGTAAGATGTGATAGTTTAGATGTTAGTGAAAAAGTATGATGTGATAGGTAGGGTATGAAAAAGTAGGGGTAAAAGTGGTTTTTTAATAGAAAGGGGAAGTGTTTTAAGAAAAACAAAAAAAATGAAAGATGAAGGGTTTTAAGAAACGGAGGGAGTATTTGTTTGAACTGATCCTTCAATTTATTAATCAAATATGCATACAGATTTTGTATATACAGAATTATCAATGGAATAAACTGCTCCTGCTTGTATATATTTGCATCCTTGATGAAGTTTTTTCAGCTTAATACAATTGCTGCATCCCTAATTCTCCATGATGATTTGTGATGAACTGTATTTTTTGGGTATAATTGCATTTTGTAGTGTTTCTTGATGAAGGTTTTTTAGTTTAATACAATTGCTGCATCCCTAATTCCGGTGATGATTTGTGATGAACTGTATGTTTTGGATATAATTACATTTTGTAGTGTTTTACTTGTAAAACATTTAAAATTCAATTCTAAAAGGTAATACAGTTTGGTCTTTTCGGTCCATACCGGTCTGGTCCAAGGGTTTTCGGTCGGTCCAGTCTAAAAACGAACATTTATAGTATGATCTTCGGTCCTAATTTTTTCCCATTTTGGTCTTCGGTCCGATTCGGTCTGGTCCTGGACCAATGAACACCCCTATCTCTAACACCAGGAAATGGAGAAGCACCGCCCTTCTTGTTATAGACATGCAGGTATCTGCCTCTTTAAGTCGTCATCATTCCTTTCCTTTTTTGTTTTATTTCCTTTGACCCCTTGTGATTTCCATTTATTTACTTTTTCTACAGAATGATTTCATACTACCAGGTGGCCCTTTGTGCGTCAGAGGCGGCGAAGCCATCGTCCCCAGCGTTATTAAGGTCGTTGAAGTTGCAAGAAGCCGTGGCATGCCTATTATTTGGGTACCCTCTAAATCAAACCTCTCTCAGATCTCAATTATTTTCTCTTGCTTTTCTTTAATTGCTGCCAAATTTGAATTTTTATTCAGGAAAGTTTTTCTTGAGAAATTGTAATATGTGAATCTGTTGACTAATTTTCCATGGTGATTTGAGATGCGATTTGATTAGGTTTTACAATGTTGACAATGGGGTGTATTTGCAAAAGAACAACAATTGCAAGTGTTTGGTATTGTATTATTTGAGAGAGCTTTTCTGTTCCAAAAATCTTGTTTACAAATTTATGGGTTCTGTTCTTTGATGTGTGCTTCATTTGGTACAGTCTATTCAATAACCTCAAATTTAAGGCTTCACTTATTCTATTTGACATCTTAGCTACTCCCTTTGTCCCGGACTATTTGTCCAGTTTTAACTTTTTTGGTCAACTATTTTCAACCTTTGACCTATAATTAAATAAAATATATTGTATATTAACTAGATAACATAATATTTTGAAAATATTACATAATAAATCTAATAAAACTATTTTTGTATCAATATCTAATGTCATTATTATTTAATTTGATGTCAAAATTGAAAAAGTAAAAAATGGACAAATACTCTGGGACAGAGGGAGTATTATTTTGCCAATCACTAAGTTAATAATTGAATAACACAAATAAAAGTGACACTTCTACCTATGCCCTCTAATTTATTAAAAAATTAGCATCACACCGTATATTTTAAGTGCACTTTTATATAATTTGGTGCCAAAAAATAAATAAGGTCAGCTCATTCAGTTTTCAAACTGCAATTTTGTGCAACAAACTTGTACACTAACACTCACATGGCCACACACAACGTTTTTGTTCCCAATGACATACATATATGATGTCTAGTAGTGCATGCACGCACACAAGATGAAGACGCGCAAGGGATGTTTGTGAAAATAATGTTTTTTTCTGTGGTGCTGATGTACAAGTTTGTTATAGAAATATCACAATCCTTCTCTTTTTTCAACCAAATCTACATTTACCAAGCAGGTTGTGCGTGAGTATGATCCATCCGGAAGAGATGTGGAGTTGTTTCGAAGATACTTGTACTCCCCTGGGAAGCCAAAACCAACTACCAAGGGGAGTGTGGGTGCTGAACTCGTGGAAGGGCTTGTTGTCAAGGAAGGGGATTACAAGTTGGTAAAGACGCATTTTAGCGCATTCTTTAACACAAACCTCCATTCATATCTTCAAACCAATGCGATTACCAGCTTAACCATCACCGGTATTAATCAACTTCCATTTAGATTTTGTACATGATAGTTTGAGTCGAAGTATTAAAAACTTACTATATCACTCGCCATATAAGATATTGACTTCCTTTTAAGGCTCATATCCATTGTGCCCGTTTGGCAACACTTCAACCTTTAGCTTTAGCATTTTGAAATAGTTATCTAACAACAACGTTTAGTGTTCTCAAAATCAATGTGTACCATTAAAAAAGTCCAAAATGTGAACTGAAAATGCTCCTCCCAAACAAGGTTTGATTTTTTACTACTATTACTATATTACAATGTAGTATGTGTATACATACTTTCTCAACTTCATGAAGCACAAAGAATCAATGTCCCCACATTGGGATTCGAACATGTGACCTTCCATTTGGAATAGGCACATTTATGCCGCTAGATCACAAGGCCTTTGGCAAGGTCAGTTTAAAATTTTGACATATTTATGTTGGTGGTTTTATTGTCCTCGACTATTTTATGTAATTGGGTTTGCTTAGATCAAACAAAAATTTGTATAGACGTTGTCAAACGAGTTAGGAGTTGTGGAGTATACACTCGTTTAACAATATTACAAATTCATAATGGGGGTTCGGAGGCGGCAGCGCCTGGTAGGGTCCAGTGTTGTCAAGTCGTAGTCGCCGACTAGTCGTCCAGGCGTTTTTGGATTGGCGACTTGCTCTTCGACTAGCGACTAGGGCAGACTAGATGATAGGGCGAGTAAAGCGACACTTAGGCGCGCCTAGAAGACGCCTAGTTGGTGAAGAAAATTGCCCAATTTGACCTAACCCAATTTGAACCAACCCAATTTGACCCGACCCAACCCAAATTTCATTAATTTTTAAAATTTACGATAAAAGATAGCCTCCCTCGACACAATCCATTGAATCGACAATCTAGACTCAACCCTTCCCAGGTTGCGACTCTCCTTGGCTCCATCATCGATATCTTCCATCACTTCCATCGACATCTTCACAGTTCACAGGCTCTCTATCATAATGTTGGATGATGATATTTAATAACTCAAAACTTGGAATTAAACTAGTTTTTTACCCCGTGCTTCGCACGGGCTTGGGTTATGTGCAAGTGTTTTTTGCAATTTTATAACTGTTTAATAGTATATTCAATGAATAAAATATGTATTATGATTTTTTCTGAAGAATTTATTTAAAAAAGGAAAGATAGAAGAGTTGAGGACTCAACCAAAGCCCCTCAAAAAGAGAAGAAAAAGCAGCCTCGACTTAACCAAAGTTCCTAAAAAAGATACCAAACTTCAAGCTTCCAGTAACAACATCACTAAAGATCTCAATCGAAAATAATGATTAAAGTGAAAACTGCCAACCAATAGCCAAACAAACCAAAACACATCCTTAGAAATATTCAAACTTTTCAAACTCAAATCAAGTTCCAACCAAAGAAAGACCCTCAAAAATTTTAGTACAGATTTTACCACCCAATACACTTGTTTCTTGAGCTTCAACTTCATCCAATGAAGAAACGGAGAAAAAAATTTGTGTGCAACATTGAATTTTCATCCTCATGACATTCCAAAATTTACCCATTACCTAAGGTTTTTAAAAGGAAAGAGAAAAATAGAATCAAACTACAAAGTGCAGTAGACCAAGAAGCTGCCAGAAGTAGACCTTGTTAACACAATACCCTACTTCCTTTTTATGTCACCTCCTTTAGACTCCAAGAAGAAAGCCGATTATATCTCTTTTGTTTAAGAGAACTTGCACGTATACCAAAAGCTTATATTTAAAATACATATTAGAGACCAAATGTTTATTACGCAATTACACACTATTTATCAAACCACATATATAGTCTTGCCATGAAACAATAATAGAAACAGAGATAGAGCCATCAGACATTAATGTTACTGACTATCTTTTGGGGTTATCTCTTAATTAAATATTTATATATATCAAATATACTCCCTCCATCCTGGTTTAATACAACGCGCTAGACGAATAAAGATTGACGATAATCAAGCAATTAATTTCTAGAACCAAATATTTCACGATTCGCTTACCGCTTGCCATAAAGCATTGTAGCCAATTCTATTGATGTTTTATTATTGAACCCCAGCTCTAATGGAACAACACCATGTTGAACCCAAAACTTGTCCAAAACATTATTAACATTTTTAGCAGAAATTTCCCAAACAGAAAACAAAATCACAAGCCTTCCTAACATTTTTTTCCCAAACATCTTTGATACTTTCAGAAAGATAAGTTTAGTATCAAAAAATGGTATTGCTATTGGTAGAAATGTGCCTCAAATTAGTTTTTTTTATGCATGCCTCTCTAAACAAAATGATCATAAAGGATGCATAGTTGGAAAAAGAGTTTTTAATGAATCAAGAGCAAATGCATGCGTATGACAATGTTTGGCGCCTCGCCTCGCCTTGGCGCCTTATAAACTATGTTCATATATGTCTTATTTCCATATTCTCTACTCATAGGTGTCAATGCCAACTTCCAAGTAAGATCAAGAGTTTAAAAATATGTCTTGTTTTTTCCCTAGATGCAGAATAAAAATCTGATTTTCATTCAAATCAACTTTAAAAAAACTCTCAAAAGATAAAGGACAGAATTGACCACATTCCTACAACTACAAATCAAACTTAAAGCACACTTACAGAACCTCTCAAACAATTCATTTAACTATCATAAAGAATACAAACTAAGCTAGCAGAGCAAATACTTAATCCATGCATATTGATGGTAGGCACTGTGTCATAAGAACTATTAAGACAGTTTGGGGCAGATTAAACTATCAACTAATGTGTGTGATTGATTTCTAATTACCCTAAATGAAAAATGTGTCACAACCATCACCTTTTGTATTTAGTGCTTGATGTGGAGTTGTTTGTATACCGATACTTTCAAATACTTTTTTGAGTCCATAACTCAAAACATATCACAACGTGCATGCAGTGAAATTTAGAGTTCACTTACCTCCATTGATTAAAATGAATCTGTAAAGTACCTCCATTTTTATTAAGAGTGTATTCATTTCACATGTGGCCATTTAGAAGTGAGACCAGAAGTCATTAGCTTTAGGTCAAATCCAGAAGAAATGTTTAACCATTTCTGCATTCTTGCACCAACATCATTTGGAAGCAAGTTTGAATGAGGAATCTATGTTCTGCAAAATAGAAGAAAACTGTTTATGAGACCCTCTACAAAAGAATACTTGAGGTGGAGGAAAGAATGACTTACCTTGATTAAATAAGTGCTAGTGTCTTAAAAGTTTTGCATCCAAGAGAGTGGGCAATGCATAAAGGTGGGGAAGTTTGAACTGAGGATACTTTTTCCTCAACTCTAGAAAATCCAACATTGGGCATGGGCCCATATCCATTTTCTGCAAGAGATCAAATGCCAAAATGTAGCCAAATTGATATAGAAAGGCATAAACTATCCCAAAATGTAAATAAAGGAAAGCTAATACATACAGTGAGTTGGAAGGACAAACAAAAGAAATGTTGATGCAAATGCCTGCAATATAAAGGGAAATGTTAGAAGACAAATGATCACAATTATTATCACACTTTATTGTACAAAAATAATATCATTAATGGACTCTCTAAGAGTATTGATGATATGAGTTTTAAGTTCACATGATTCAAATTATTTTAATTTATTTTAAAGCTCAAATGGTTTCATTATAAATGCATAAATAGAGAAGGAAAACACAGTATTAATGTCAAACAATAACAATGGAAGATAATAATTTGCTAGTCAGCGCCCTTGTGTTTTGCCAGCATCTTAATTTGGCTATCAGAAATCAAATGTCGTCCATGAGCAGGGCTATATTTATTTTAAATTGAAAAGGATATTTTATTGAATTATAAAAAAAACTGCACAATAATGATGAAAAGGCACTGAAACATTTCATGAATCAAAACACAAACCTAACAAAAAGAGTTGTTAAAATATATCCGCCTTCTAAAGAGCAATACACAACTACTTAGAGACAATAAAAAATTGGCCAGACTATGTAAAACATATGTGAAAACCCCTCTATATCTCTAGATTATTGTGGGATAGTAAAAAATACATCAAGCTTATATTTTGAATAAAAAAATCCCATTTTATTTCAAATATGGATGGTCAAGCAAAAAACAGGCGCAAAGAGTCTGGTCACTTCTTTCACAAATAAATTACCTTTTTTTTAATAATAATCAACTCAAGCATAGTAAAGATTAAGGTTTCGGACAATGGAATGAAGCGAGATTTGTACAATGCATATAACCCAAGTATAGAAGCAATAATGTCCTTATGGTCTTTGTCTCCCCAAGGTTAAAAAAATGTAGTTATATCTACAATATCATTATATGAGTTAAAAGGATTTCCTTTTGGTTAAAAAAAATGAAAAGTAGAAATCGCAACCTGCACAAATCATTTTAACAGAAAATAACCCCTGTAATACATTCTCCATTGAAAGCTATTGGACCATAGACATTCTTATTATTGAGCTTTGTAAACTACCTCTTCATCAACACCGGTAAATGCATATAAAGCCGGATATTTTGCCCCCTTTAAAGTTGCCACGGTTCCTTTAGAAGAACCAATTATTCCTCTCGTAAAGGTGAAATCAGAATTCATAAGTAGATGAAGTGTATTCTTTTCTTGTGTTATTTAACTATAATTTAACACAATATGAATCAAGAGTAGAACATGAAAATGTTTTTTTAGCACAAATGAAACGAAAAGATAATCACACAACTTAGCTATAAGAAAGACACAAAAGATGATACTATAGCTGCAATAATTTGAAAAAAAATATTTTTGAAATTCATCTTTTCACTAATAATAAAAATACACTCAAATTTTAACCATGTTTGTTAAAAAAACGGGTAGGATCTTTTGGCTTTAGGATAATTGAAGCGTGCCAATGTCATATTAATGTCAACGATTCTATTGTCAAAAGAACCATCGTGTTAAAAATACTATGTTTTATCAGCAGTTCAGCACTACGCATTTTCAACAAATAGTCTAAAACAGAATATATAGAAGATCTTAGCCTGTGAGTAAATCTGATATGTGTAACTCGTTCTTTATTGACTCATTAGGAGCTTCACTAAGCTTATGTAAGAATTATCTTCTGGGAGTGACACCATTTGTAATAGTCACTGAAATACAAACTGCTTCAGTACTATATTTTACCTTCATGTCGCATATGATCAACAGTGTTTGAGACCTCAGGCTGCTATGCCATCTATTTTTTGAAAAGCCTATGAACAAACTCTACATTAATACAAATGTCTTTATCACCACAAAAAATCAACTGGTGAACAATGCAAAAACTAACAAAATCTAACCTTCACTGACCTATTGTTAATAAAGTACGGTTGATTATGCATAGAGAAGACCTTTTTCTTGTCCAAGACTGCACATGTCACACCTTAAAGCAAAAAATGCAATTAACATGATAAATAAACTGAACTCCCAAACACCAAAACCCAATAAAATGTTTAAACAACGAAAGCAATGAAAATTATACTGTGAGGTTATAGAGAACATGAAACTATAGATTGATTGAACTTAATGAGTATTTAAATGGCTCGATTCTAGCCATGCTTAAGGGCATGTTGTTTGCATGTTTGCAACTTTCAACTACGAAAGTCCAACTTAGAAGGTAATGCACAATTAACTTCATTAGCTCGGAAAGAATGAGTAGATGAAATCATGGATAAAGAGTTTATTACGATACCTAAACCAAGCATTCGTGTCTTTTGTACCGTCAATTGATTAAAGTTTGATCTATTGAAGGTTGAGGCCAGACACTATCCTCCTTTAATTTGAATGAGAAGAACCCTCGTAAGATATAATCTATTCATAAGTAATAACCTGCAGGTATTGAACATAGAATTAAAAATGATATAATTTCTTTTAAACATACAAATATTTACGGCTAATAAAGGAAATTTAGTACCCTAGGTCACCTAAAAAACAAATAGAGCTACATAAAAATGTAGAAATTGAAACACAGATCATTAATAACCAAGCAAGTGCAACTAAAATAACGAATCAACCAAAGTTTTCATAACATTTTGATAAATACGGAAATACCTGAAGGGGACTAAGTTCTTATGGGAGTTATAAGAAAAGAGCCTTTGATTATGTAAGATGTCGAACATCACAATCTCAGCTATATGTACTGTATGCCTTCTGCTTGCTAACTGAATGACCGTATATGCCAATGACAACCTGCTAAGCGGACAAAGATGCCAATGGCAAAGAAGAAACCCTGTTAGGCGAAGAAACACCCATGACAATAAAAAAATAATTGGTAGAAAATAAATCATGCAGCCATTATAGAATAACCACTAAAACGAACTCAATTCACCAACCTTTACTCTCTACATACCAATTGCTGGCTCCTAGCCCCTATGGCTCCCGCTGTGGCTTTTAGGTTGCTAATCATATACTGCAAACATGAAAGCCATAAAAACAGACAATTGGTAAAGACATTACACATAATTATTGCATAATCTACAGATCAGATTGTCAATCATATAATAATGAAGGTCTTTATCAAGTTGATCCATCTTTATCAATCTAAATACCAACCTTATCAAAGCACTGAAAAGCCCCAATTCCAGGGAACCTCCATGTCCCATTTTGCTCAGGATAGGAAGGAAAACGAAGCTCTCCGGCTGGACCCATGCCCACTTAAATCTCCTAGATTGCCAAAAAACAAAAAGAAAGAAAATCATCAGTGCTGAAGCATAATTCAAGATCCCACTGTCTGGGCTTAAAGAAAGACATAATATTGCAAAAACTCACCACAATGGTGTCACCTAGCATGTCTTCAAACCTGTCTCTAAAAGCCCTCATGAAGTCAGAGTAACACTGAACAGGAGTTCTTCCTTTAAGGACTGGAAGGGTATCACGACCAAGTGATACATACTCATAATTCCTCCTTCCCCATTGATCTGTGTATGCAAGGTCTGGATCCTTGTCCATCTCCTCCCTCACCCACCTTGGAAGAGGAATCCTGATATCGAAAAATGGGGGAGAAACCGCCGAAACTTGGATTGAGTTACAGCAGCAACTTCCATGTGGGTCAATCTGAAGAGGTGGAGGCGACGACATGCCTATGTCCAATAGGATAGCATCGTCGTTCTCTCTAAACGGAAAAGGAGATTCCGAATCATTGGGCAGCGGTGGTAGTTGCCCCCTCTTGCTAGTGTCAACAACTGCATCCAATTGTCGTTGCCGATTCAGGTAGCTGTGGTAGCGGAGAAGGGTGTCCGATTGATTCCCTGAAGTTGAAGAAGAAAAGCCAATCCCTCAAGATGTTACACATGACCTAGTAGTAAATTAAAATACACGTATGCTCCTACGTGGAATGACAGGTGTCAACACAACAGCTAAAAAACCCTACTTTATATATATATACTAGTATTTTGACCCGTGCCATGCATGGGGCCGAATGAATTTTTTGTCAATTCTAATTTTTTTCATGCAATATTTTTTGCGGATTAAAGAAAATAAATTTTTACATGATTTTTAATAATATATATATCAACGTCAAAGTAGAATAAATAATATTTGAAGAATTGAAATTATACAAAACAAAGACTTATGAAACCAAATTTTATGAAACACTTCAGGGTATACAACATTTTTAATATGGATGCAAGAGTTTCTATTGTCATCTAAAATATACATTTTTAATCATGTATTTGTCTTTACTCGTAAAGCAACAACATAAAATTGACCATAAGTGAATAGTGACTTGGTTAAAATAATCTAACAAAAGATAACGTTTCACTTTAACTTTTGTTAATAGTCATAGCAAAACATAACTATTGAAAATTGTCTTTTTTGAAACTTTAGGGGGTAGCCTTTAATCATATGGTACCAAATTTATTCGAGGTATGTAAACATTTTACCCGTCTCGATTTCTCGAAACCACGATTGCACGGTTAACATTTTTTGCAGCTCTTCAACAATTAATCTTATAACATACCCAATCCAAATAACAAAATCAATACCCTATTTTTCAAAACTATTTTTTGGTTTAGGATCCCCGAACATCTGAACATTTGATTTCATTTAAAAATTCAAATGTTATCCAATAAGCATCAACACCTACATTGGCATCTGCTTGTCATTAAGATTGATAACTCAAGTACTCCTTTTTCATCACCGAGAATGAGAAATAGGACAAACTCATTTACCATTTCAACAACTTCAAGAGTGGATGCTAATGGTGCACTATCCTAAAAAATAATTTTTTTCATATTCTCCAATAAGTTCAGATAAGTAAATTTCAATACTATACTCTTGAAGGATAACTTACGTCAAGAATCAAGAATACGGGTGGGATTTCACAGCAGAAATTTCATCAATCACCTGACCAAGCTTTCCATCTCCAATTTTGATTATACAATCAGAAAAAGTTTGTGTATCCCTAGTTGCATAAGAGGACATAAATGAATGCAATATCATATTCTTGGTCAACGTAAAAAATGTACAATACAACCACAATTTTGAGGAATTCGCGGTAGCACCTATAATTTTCTCTCTCGAAGCTTTGGTATAATTGGAAGGATTTGGCGAAAATCACTTTTGAGTACTAATATTTCCCCTCTGAATGGTTCATTTCAAGAGTTATTATTATAGAACCTCATTATATCTCTCATTGTGTGATCCAATGCCTCAAAAGCAAATCTATTCATCACACATGCTTCATCTCATACGATTCCACTTGCTTGGTAGATTAATTCTGCTTTCGGACTCCCTTGTTTGATAGCACACGTTGAGCACTCAGTTAAAGCCAGAGAGATTGAGAATCTCGAGTGTGCTGTCCTTCCACCAAGCAAAAGCAATGCTGCAATGCCACTGGATGCAACATTCAAAACAGCCTTACATACCATTCGTTCTTGAAAAGTAGACATTGGTTTCTATATAAATGTTTTTCCAAGTCTCCCGCAACCATATACAAAAAAGAAACCTCCTCTTTCAGATATCAAACATCTATTATCGCATTTAATATCTTTCTTTAATCTTCATTCATCGTAGATAAATATCCTCTAAAATCAGATAACAATTTTTCTTTGTCATAATTCAATTTCTCAATCAAAATATTATTTTGAAATCTATTAAGTGACTATCATCTGGAAATGACATACCACTGAACTCCTTTAAAAATGTATAATTTTGATATTATTTTTTAACTTTTCCTTTACTTTATAATAAGCTAAGTTATGATGTGTAGGATAAATAATTTTAGGGTGCGGCCTTTTTTCTAATTTGAAAAGTTTTATGGGACGGATGTAGTATAATTTTCTTCAAACAATTAAGGTTATTTATTTATATTAGGTTTCCCAAAAAACAATTTACATAAGTAGTCACCATTGCGTATGCATTTTTTTCAAAAAAATATCTTCAGTAATTCTAAAATTAATCTCTTTTACATTTTTTGACAATACAATTATATCAATTATTTTCGTTGGTTTAACGCAGTGANTATGGGACGGATGTAGTATAATTTTCTTCAAACAATTAAGGTTATTTATTTATATTAGGTTTCCCAAAAAACAATTTACATAAGTAGTCACCATTGCGTATGCATTTTTTTCAAAAAAATATCTTCAGTAATTCTAAAATTAATCTCTTTTACATTTTTTGACAATACAATTATATCAATTATTTTCGTTGGTTTAACGCAGTGAAAGTCTTATTTCAATCTATGAATTTCGTTTTAAACATATTAATGAATCTCGAAAAATTCTATGGTGGACTTAAGGTTTACCATGCATCTACATATGAGCAAAATAAGTATTTATTTATTACTTAAATAAGTATTTGTTTTTATAAATAAAAAAAATTTAAAAAAAATATATTTTTTATGTGAGAAGGTCCACCAAAGAAACACTCATGATTCTCTCTCTATTGAACATTAAGATTAAGTGTGAAGTGTCCACTTTGGATATTATAATTTTCTCAGTTAAAAAAATACAACCTAGAGTCAAAATTTTAATTATTTTTAAAATTATCAAATATTAGGCGTTAGAATACACAATAAAAAAGATGAGAGTAAACTCAAATGACAGTAATAGTTAGGAGGGAGAATTATTGAGGTAGAACTCAAAATAAGTAATTTTGATACTTTTTTTATATTTTACTTCTATAGTAGTATTTCTCTTTTTTTAACCTTTTCAATTTGTTATAACTTAAACGTATTATTATTATTATTATTATTCAATGGAATCATTAATTTACATAAAAAATAAATTGAACATATATTATCAATAGAAAGAACTATGGTGTTTTTTACATTGTACTCATTATAATTAATCAAAATACATTAGAAAAAAGTTTAAAAATTAATCATAATTATCTTCTTATTTTTCTATTTCGGAATTATGTTCTAGTCGTCGTATAAGGTATATATTAGGCATATTAATTAGAACTGGATCTTTCTATATTTTAATATAAAAGTGCCAAGTCATTAAAGTTATCAAAGGTGGAAGATGACTCATAAAAAACTTGCCAAGTAGACCCGCCACATGTCGACATTCTGTGAGCCTGAATCTCAAATATAATAATAAAGGATTTTTTATAAAAAAAACTCTTGGAGATATGAATAAGTTAAATGAATTTAAAGGATGTAATTTTTTTGGAATATCAAATATATAAGTTTAAATTTATCAAATGTATATAAACATCAAGTTTTGTTACTATAAACTAAATGGTCAATGATTATAAACAAAGTTTCCAAATATGAAGACTTTATTTTAGGATAGATTTTAGATCCGTGTACCGTCATCGTTGACGTGTCAATAAAGACTCCACATAGACGTTCCACTTGTCGAGCTCTGGTGATCCGAGTCTCCTTTATTATATTAAAGGATATATATATATATATGATGATATTTTAATATGTCCTTTGACTTTTTTTGTGCTAATTATCTTTGTTGGTGTGTTATTTTTGAAGATTGAAAGATATTTTTTCTTATGTACTCTTCGTTGTGTGACTTTATGTGCTATCTTTAAACGTAATTTTGCTTTGATAATGATATTTGGTCATTTAGATATATATAGTTATTTTGGGTGAAGAAAGATATATATAATGTTAAAAATTTCAATACTAATTGTGATTTGTCGACTAGTCTACGACTAGTCGACTAGATCACTAGTCTCCTCGTCGCTGACTTGACACGACTTGTCGACTTAACAACCATGTTAGGGTCCAAGGGGCAGAGCCCTTGGCCGGGATTTATTTTCGACATTATTGTTTTATGAAAAACCTTAAGATTTTCGTGAATAGAACCCAAAACGTTAAGAAATTGGATGTACGTATAAACGTCCATAATTGGCTCAAAGCCGCAAGAACCTCTTCACGCAAACGTTTGCTTTTTTACACGAATGTTGCTCATGGTTTTTCGTTTCTATAAATATAGATACGCGGATATGGTTGAGGATTGATTTTCGATGTGCTTGTTCTTGATTAATGCCTTATCCGATTAAAGTATTTTGGTATACTCCAAAATAACTTTTCATTTGAAAGCATTCTACGCGATTCATTATAATCTTTTAAGTTGTTGATCTCGTTCTTTGTTCACAACTCTTTGATGCTGCTTCGTAGTATTCTTCCTCTGTATAAAATTCCTACATTTTCTACTTCTGCCAAGAACATGAGCTTTCTTTATGTTTATCTGTATTGAAGAATCTTAACTTTCTTACTCCTTGTTTAGGTGTCCAAACACCAAATTGTATAAGGCAGATAGTCTTTGATGCAGTGGCGTGGAATTATCAACCCGTAACTGTTATTGTTGATGCAACGGCTGCTGCATTATGTGAAGTACATGCTTGTATGTAACCAAATTTGTTCACCCTATGCCATCTTTGTTCCTAAGGATACTTCCGAAAACAGCCTCTACTATACTTTTGGGACTATTTGTCTTATAGTTTTTGCTTCTGTGTGTTTACAACAAACATATATGACATGAAAAATATTAGGGTGGCAACGCCCACGCTGGAAGAATGGTGTGAGGATCCATATGCTAAGTTGGCATTGCAACTTCGTGCATGTCTTTGTATCTCATGCTATATTAATAGAACTTGTTAGATGGTGTCATTGTATCCACCTAATGGTGTAAGTCACCCTTTAGATGAAGACAAAGTAAGATGTCGTTTGTTCAGGGGTACGTTGGCGAGGAATCTCTCTTGAGGTCTTGGGGTTCTTTTCCCCTCCATTGTGATCCCAAAAAACCCACATGTTAGATTCACTTGTTTTCCTTTGTTGGTAAAACACAATCCTATCATATCATATATCTTATCCTATATCCTATCCTATATGTATATGTAAAAGAGAGTTCCATAGCGATAGTGTTGACAGGTGTCCTGTGATGTGACCAATATTAATTCATGTGGCAGCCACGTGTGCATACTAACACGTGTCTGCCAAATGTACCAATATTAATTCTTTTTTAAATCCTTCACTTTCCAACAATAAATAACCATTCCTTTATAGACTTTTTATAAAGTTTACACTATCTAATTATTTTAGAAATATGTTTCATTTTTTTAATATATTTTTAAAATATGCACGACTATCCTATATCTTAAACTTCTTTTTTTAAATATCTCTTAATATATTTTATTGTTTTATATTAAATGAATATTATTTGTTAGCATTAAAAAACATTACTTTGATTTTTTTTGTATAAAATTTTAACATTTTCTAACAATTCCATAAAAATATATTTTACCATTGTAAAATATACTCTGTATTTTAAATATGCATATTGATTGTAAAATTTTAAAGAAGAGTATGTATAAGACTCTTTATTATTAATTTAAAATATTTCACTTTCAGAAAAATAAAAAAAACATTTCACCTTCAAAGATATTAAACTATTTTTGGCATTTTTATGTTTTATTTAATGTAATAATTCTTTAAATAAAATAGTTATAAAATTTTTAGTGCATGTACATCAATATTTAATGTATACTTTTTATTTAAAAAATATACTTCGTATATCTTAGAATGAAAATATATTCATTTAAAATACATAAAATTATATTTATAGTATGTCAAAAGTTTAGAATACATGTGAGCCTGTGCGAAGCATGGGTTAACATTACTGTATATGTAAAAGAGAGTTTCATAGTTATAGTGTTGACACGTGTCCTGTGATGTGGCTAATATTAATTCATGTAGCAGCCACGGGTGCATACTAGTAACACGTGTCTGCCAAATGTACCAATATTAATTCTTTTTTAAATCCTTCACTTTCCAACAATAAATTACCATTATTTTATAGACATTTTATAAAGTTTCCACTATCTAATTATTTTAGAAATATGTTCATTGTTTTAACATATTTTTAAAATATGCACGACTATTGTATATTTTTAAATAAGATTTATATCTTAAAAACAATGTTGCTTATAATTTTTTAAATTATAAACTATTTCAAAAGAACTATTATATATAAATTTCTTCGAACATGCATTTTGATTATATCTTCAATCAGCTAACTAAACAAAGTGAAAGTTTAATTAAAGAATTACATTTGGCACATGACAGAATGATGTGTCAATACTTAATTGATCTATTTGGCATATTTATTTTAATTTTTATTAACTCCAACAATTTTCAAAATAGTATTATAATTTTTTATCGCATATATGTATTTATTAAATGCAAGATTTATTTCAAAATTTTTATCCTATTACCTACTAAAAAGTATATTTTAGTATACAATGTATATTTTTTCAACAAACTAAACAAAAAAAAGTTAGAGTTAAAAGATGATACATGGTGTATGTCATATACTCCCTTCGTCGTAGAACTTTCTTACGATTTTGACTTTGCACAATTTTTAATAAATTCGAATGTTTGTGGTTGTTTGTGTAAATGAAAGAGAATTGATAAGAGTCAGAATGATATATTTTATTTCAATGTTTTATTTGTATCATTATTTAATTTCTTGTATATTATTTCAACAAATTATTTTAAATAAATTTGGTTTTGTTGAAAGATTTTATATATATATATATATATATATATATATATATATATACGGCAACTAAGATATAATTATGAAGTAGAAAAATAAGAAGATAAATATGAGTAATTTTTAATTTTTTTCTAATGTATTTTGATTAATTAAAATGAGTACAATGTAAAAAATACCGAATTTCATTCTATTGATAAAATATGTTTAATTTTTTTTTGTAAATTAATTCTTCCATTGAATAATAATAATAATAATAGTAATAATAATAATAATAATAATCTTACGTTGTAAGTTAGAAAAAATTAAAAAGTTTAGAAAAGGAGAAAGACTATTATAGAGGTAAAATATAAATCAAGTATCAAAATTACTTATTTTGACATCTACCTCGATACTTCTCCCTTTTAAATTGGAGGAGTTAATATTGCTACGTTAATCTTAAAAAATTATTAATGTCATTTGAGTTTCACTTTCATCTTTTTTATTATGTACTATAATGCTTAACATTTGATAATTTTAAAAATAGTTAAATTTGTTTTAAGTAAATTTGTTTTCTTAAGAAACCTAATATAAATAAATAACCTTAAGTATTTGTAGAAAATTATACTACCTCTGCCCCATAAAACTTTTCAAATACAAAAAAAGGTGTCCCGCAAATACGCAAAAAGGTACACCCCTAAATCATTTGTCCCACACATCATATTCTACGTTATTATAAAGTAAAGGAAAAGTTAGAAAATGAAATCAAAATTACACATTTTTAAAGGAGTTTAGTGGTATGTCATTTCCAAATGATAATCTACTTAATAGATTTCAAAATAATTTCTTGATTGAGAACTTTAACTATGATAAGGAAAAATTGTCATCTGATCTTAGAGTATATTTATCTATGATGAATGAAGATCAAAAAAAAATATTTGTTGCGATAATGGAAGTCTAACATCTGAAAGAGGAGGTTTCTTTTTTGTGTATGGTTACGGGGGACTTGAAAAAGCATTTATATAGAAACCAATGTCTACTTCTCAAGACCGAATGGTAAGGCTATTTTGAATGTTGCATCTAGTGACATTGCAGCATTGATTTTCCTTGGTGGAAGGACAGCACACTCAAGATTCTCAATCCCTTTGACTTTAAATGAGTGCTCAACGTGGGCCATCAAACAAGGGAGCCCGAAAGCAGAACTAATCCAACAAGCAAGTGCAATCGTTTGACATGAAGCATGTGTGATGAATAGACTTGCTTTTGAGGCATTAAATCACACAATGAGAGATATAATGAAGTTCTCTAATAATAACTCTAGAAATGAGCCATTCAGAGGGAAAACTTTAGTACTAAGAAGTGATTTTTGCCAGATCCTCCTAGTTTTACCTAGAGATTCGGGAGAGGGAATTGTAAGTGCTACCGTGAATTCCTCAAAATTGTGGTCGTATTCTAAAGTTTTTACGTTGACTAAGAATATGATATTGCATTAATCTAAGTCCCGATAGAGATACACAAGTTATTTTTTGATTGGATAATTAAAATTAGAGATGGAAAGCTTGGTCACGTGATTGATGGAATTGCAAACATTGAAATTCCGCCCTGATTCTTAATTCTTGAAATAAGTTACCTCCTCAAGAGTATAGTACTGGAATTACTTATCCGAAAATATTTGAGAATATGAAAAATTATTCTTTTTTAGGATAGGGCACTATCGGCACTCACTCTCAAAGTTGTTGAAATGGTAAATGAGTTTGTCCTATTCCTCATTCTCGGTGATGAAAAAATAGTACTTGAGTTATGATTCTTAATGGCAAGCAGATGCCAATGTTGGTGTTGATGCCGATTTGGATAACATTTGAATTTTTCAATGAAATCAAATGTTTGGATGTTCGCAGATCCCAAACCACAAAATAATTTTGAAAAAGGGGTACTAATTATGTTATTTGGATTGTGTAATGTACAAGATTAATCATTGAAGAACTGCGATTGTTGTTTCGGGAAATCGATACGGGAAAAAGGTTTACATACATCGAATAATTTTGGTACCATATGATCCAGTGCTATCCCTTAAAATATCAAAAAAGACAATTTCCAATAGTTTTATGCTTTGCTATGACTATTAACAAAAGGTTAAACACTGTCTTTTGTTAACTAAGTTACTATTCATTTATGATCAATTTTATGTTGTTGCTTCATAAGTGAAGACGAATACATGATTAAAAATATTTATTTTAGATGACAATGGAAACTCTTGCAACCATACCAAAAATGTTGTATATCCTGAAGCCTGCTTTAAAAAAATTAGATTTTTATTAGCATTTGTTTTATACGCTTTCAATTCTTTAAATATTATTTATTCTACTTTAACATTGATGTATATTGTATTAAAAATCATGTAAAAAATTTATTTTCTTTAATCCACAAAAAATATTACTCGGAGTGCATTGAAAAAAAATACTCCCTCCGTCCTAAAACTTTCTTTCCGGTTCGCAAAACGAAGAAAAATCTCAAGTTTTTTCAATCTAGTTTATTTAAATATTGGTATAGAAATAAAAAATAAAACATACATATTTAAAAACTACATCAAAAGTTCAACAAAACAAGTGGTGACAAGAATATTTTATTTTATCATATAGGCCATTAAAAAACACAAATAAATATAAATTCCCATGAAGTTTGAATAGTGCTCTAGGAAGAAAGTTTTAGGATGGAGGGAGTAAGAATCAACAAAAAAAATCGTCCCCCATGCACGAGTCAAAATTCCCAAATGAGAATGAGTCTGACACTTTCTTTATCTGTATCGAACGTCGTCTCTCCTTGTCAAGGACTCTAGGGGTTTATTCTCTCTCTCTCATCATATCTAAAACCCTTTCTTCCATTCCCAGGAATTGGATTTTGTCTCCATCGTCATTGTAATTCTTCTTTCGATAATAAGGGGTTAAATTCTCGCCATGTCTGAGAAATTCAAGAAGCAGAAAAAGTGCGACTTCAGTGACGAAGACGTTTCAATCCTTTTACAGAGGTACTGGATTCATCTTCCTTCATCATCTCCGCCTTTTTTTTTTAAATTTTCTTTGATGAGAAAAAAAGTGAAGTTTATATTTTATTTATAATTGCGGTTGTGTTCGTTAACTGATCAATTGGACTGATAACGGTACTGGCTGGGGATTCATGTAGATACACCCCAAGAACTGTGCTGGCGTTGTTGCAAGAGGTGGCACAAGTGAGGGAAGTGAATATTGATTGGAATGCGTTAGTGAAGAAGACCAAAACTGGGATCACGAATGCCAGGGAGTACCAACTGCTATGGCGTCATTTGGCTTACCGGCAACCGTTGGTCAATGGTTTACTTGATGGCGCTCAACCTGTGGTCCGTTATTCCCTTCATATTCAATCATATATCTGTTGTTTGAAAATGATCACTTTATTTATGTCTTGATTAAATAGGAACAAGTTAAATGTATGTAAGATTACTGATTTGTGAGCTGTACGTTACAAAAATTGAGAAGTTGCACCTTGGCGAAACACAAACATGACCCCTTTTTCATATCTTCTTTCATATAAATTGTGGACTTGGGAAGCACAACACCTTAATTTAATAGTAACCTTTCCCTTTAGGCTAAATTCCACCGTTGGTCCTTCAAGTTATTGCGCCATGCACGGTTAGCCCTTCAAGTTTGAAAATTCCACAAATAGTTCTTCAAGCCATGTTAGTGTTGCATGGTTAGTCCTTCAACTTTAAGAATTTCACGATAGTCCTTCAAGTCACGTCAGTATTGCGTGGTTGGTCCTTCTGTTAATTTGTTGTATGCATTTTTTTTAAATTTTCATTATAAATACACGTGTGAGACCTTCTCTTTTTCATACAGTTGAGTCATACTTTTGTAGATTTATTTTAATCAAATTATTGGTAAAAAATTGACTGTAAAAAATCAAAATTTGATAAAAACTTTAAGGCAGAGTAATATCTTTTTAATAAAATTAAACTAAGAAAAGCAAAATAACCTATTTTATATTGGAGTAATTAAAGTAAGAGTAACTATTATTATTAAAAACAGACCTATATTAAATATGTTCAATTATATGAAGAAGAAAGAGTTCCTCCCATGTATTTAAAATGGAAAGTACATCATAAATGCATGGACTAACGACAAAATTAACGGGAAGACCAACCATGCATCGCTAACGTGACTTGAAGGACTATTCGTGGAATTTTCAAAATTGAAGGACCAACCATGAGCCGTTAAATTCGTGGAATTTTCAAAGTTGAAGGACTAACCGTGCATGACGCAATAATTTGAAGGACTAACAATGGAATTTAGCCATACCTTTAAGACATCCTACTTCAAATGAGTTGTTTAATATGTGTTGAATCATTGATATCAAGTGTCTGATTCGTTGTGATTCGTTGTAATTGTTCTTTCTTTAAGTTTCTCTTAGCTTGTGGTCTTAAGAACATTTGATGGCAGGATGACGACAGTGATTTGGAGTATGAATTGGAGTCTTATCCAGCAGTTAGCAGTGAAGCATCAGCGGAAGCTGCAGCATTTGTGAAGGTGAAAAACATATAAATACAAAGTATTTGCATCCAATAAGTGTATACCATTTGTGCAAAAGCTACATCATGCTTGTTTATGTTTATTAAATATGATGATGACCAATAATTAAACTGAGTAAGTCGGGGAGGAAATGCTAACAATGCCCTGTTGTATCCGGTCATGTTGGGCATCTCCCTGATTACCAAATACAAATAACTTATCGCGGTGGTTAAGAAATATTCTACTTATGGGTGTATTAAATATTAATATAAAACTAGTAAAAGAAACAAATGAGATGAAATGGAACTAGTGGACAAAATTAGCAATCATCTCGGACCAATGCATGGGATGATGGAGTTGCTGACTATCCATTGCCTGTAAAGCCATTGTTTATCTGTTTCTGTCGCAAAGGAGTGCTCAAGAGGGTTGTAAGGAAAGATGTAGGGAGTGTATACACGTGAGAATTTTAGCAATGAAAATTTTCTCATATAGAGAGAGATGTAAGATATTTCTTAAGAGTGAAAAGAGAAATTCTCGAGTGAAGAACAAAGTGTTGTGGAAAATGTCAATTGTTTTGTCATTGACTCGTTGTGTTGGTCGTACTCTAATTCAAGTTACAATGGATTGCTTAGTCCGAAAAGACCGTGGTTTTTTCTTAATTGGCACTTGGGAGGGGCTTCAATGTAAAATATTATGTTGATTTAATTTTTTTTGAGTGAATTTCATAATTGGTCTTTTATCACAGGGGTTTTCCATACTTTGTCCTCTATATTCAAATATTATGCCTGCGGTCTTTCTTTTATGGGTACCTTTTCACAAATAGTCCTTTTTTAATCTTCTGTCGCGTTGATATTAATTTGAGGGCTAAAAGTGTAGTTTGACAATGATCATATTGTCATAAACAATTCCAAAGGCCGCTTGTGATGCGTCGTTTGTGAATCGCAAACGCTGTCTACTACAACCATACTCTACAACTGTGGTTTTTTGTTAGAATCCTATTCCATAGTCATAGTCATTATTATTGTATTGTTTGTCTCACCCACATCAGAATATGTCACTGGACATTAGATTGATGTGAAATTATACTCTTAGCCCTCAAATTAAGACTAATATGACAGAAGGTCAAAAGAGGACTTTTTGTGGAAAGGTACTCATAAAAGGACCACAAATGTAATATTTGATAATATAGGACTAAATATGAAAACCCCCCTATTATACAAGACCAATTATGGAATTTACTCATTTTTTTTCAATAAAATTTTCCTACGATATTGTGGTTGTTATTTTTCAGTATATTTCCAACAAGTTGTGTCAGGGCTTGTTTAATTGTTTGGGGAACACGAGATTTTTTTATAACAGTAAGGGAATGTTAATTTTGGGACTTTTGGAGGATCGTGCTAAAAATGGAGATAATGAAACTATGGGTGTTCCACGCTGCTAGTCTTGTGTTGGAAGGCATCAAGGCAGGAAAGAAAAGAACAATTTTTGTTATTTTTAGAATGTTTGAAATGGCAAGATTGTTAAGGAGGTCTATTTTTTATGAAGTTGAGTTATTTGGTAAATTGGTTGAGGGAGGGAATCATTTGGCAATTCCCTAGTTACCAAAAATTATGCCAGTTAAGTTTACTCAGTAATTTATTTATAGACGTGTTAAAAAAGAAAAATAGACTAATAAAAGAAAAATAAAGAGAAGACCCAGAAATGGTGGCCCAAATTAGCAATCATCTTTGATCAATGCATGAGATGATGGAGTTGTTGAGTGTCCTTTGGCTATAAAGCCATTGTTTCTCTTGCAGAGTGCTCAAGTGGGCCGTGAGGAGAGATGTAGGGAGTGAAGAAATTTTATAATGTCAGCAACGAAAAACTTCTCACATAGCAAGAGATGTTAGATATTTCTTAAGAGAGAAAGAAATAATATTCATGTGAAGAAAGAAGAGTGCTGTGAATAATCTCAATTAGGGTATTTTGATATTACAGTGGATTGTTTAGTACAAAAGGACTGGTTTTTTTCCATACATGAGATGGATTTCTACATGAAATATTGTGTGTTGATTTTTTGCACATTATTTATTCTCCGACATTGTGATTGCTTTTTTCCCTGTGATTTTCCCAAAATGTCACTACATGAAAAACCCTATAGCTTTAAATTTGTCCTTGAATCACCCAAACTTACTGTTGGCGGGGCATTTGCAGCACCCTTCAACTGCATAATGGGTCGTTGTTGTGGTTGTTGATGTTGGTATTTTCATAGTACTAAAGTATTTGTGGTGTTTGTTGTTTTGGGCTCAAATAGGTATTGATTGCTTCTGGGACACTAAATGATTCGCACATGCCAAATGGCATGACTGTTGAGGCTCCGTTGGCTATAAGTATACCTAATGGCCAACGATCTCTGAATTTTGTTGATGCTTCACAACAAAGTTTACCCATTCAAGGGTCAAATATTATAGTTTCAGTTTCTGTGCCAAAAACTCCACTGCCCACTGTAATGTCAACCAAAGGATTAGATGACAATGGTGCCTCAGGTGCAAACTTACCTCAACGAAAAAGAAAACTCTGGTCTGAAACAGAGGATATGGATCTTATTGCTGCTGTGAAAAGACATGGTGAAGGAAACTGGGCAAACATGGCGAAGAGAGATTTTAATGGTTGCAAAACTGCTTCACAATTATCTAAGGTTCCCCTTTTCTACTATACTCCTCTTTCTTTATAGGCGCATGTGTTGTTAAAGATTGTGCAGTAAATCAGTTTTCTTAATAAAGATTTGTTTGGTTGGTTTTCATCTGTGATTGCAACATGGAAATATGGAATGTCCAATGAAGGAGATATTTGATTTTTGCTTAGGTTTCGGGGGTTCAAATCCTGTCAATGGAATAGTATCATGAACACACGTATATGGTCAGGAAACCAGCATAATCTAAATTTTGAAAAAACAACAAAACATGAGTTGTTGGATAATCTGCAGAAAATCATTTTTCCTTGAGGAATTAAAAATTTATTTTATATCAACTTGATGGGATTTTATGAGAATGGTCTTTCATTTATTATTGCAACATGGAAGTAAAGTATTCAGCTGTTCTTTATGGCTCGTGGAATAATATCTTGAATGCACGTGTATGGCCTAAAATTTGTAAAAATATCAATAATTATTCTTCTATCATTTTATACCATTCTGTATTTTACTATGGTACAACCTGCAGAGGTGGGCAACTATTAAGAAGCAACAAGGTTCCTTGAATGGGAATACATCAAAACTCTCAGAAATTCATTTGGCTGATCAGGCAGTGTCCCTGGCTCTTGATGTGCCTATGAGGGACAATCCAAAAGCAGCTCGCTCAAGCATTCCCGGTAATTCTCTTGACATATATTAAATTATTAATATGATCTTGTAGTTCAACAATTGTGTTGAGCTCTCTAGAAATATATAAGAATTCAAGATGTCACCTGCGGGTGTTAATTACCTAAGGTATTCTGATCTTAAGTTCCAGTCTTTTAGCCTTTTTAGGTAGACCTAGATAAGGTGGTATCAATTCTATCAAATGCCATAGACAAAATTTCAGTAACAATATGATGTCTCAGATATCCATCTCCAATGCTCTTTTAATTGAATCTATGTTCTCATCGCTGTTAGCTTTGACTAATCCAATTCAATATTGCAACAGAGTGCAAAATTGCAAATGCTGCATCAAACTCTAATGCATCAAGTGTGGTGGCAGCACCAAAGATTGGCACTCCGCCCACTGGTACCATCAAAATCACTAGTCTCAAAAAACAATCTACAGAGTCAACAACTATACGCAGAGATCCATTGATCAAAGCAGCTTCAGCTGTTGCTGGTGCCTGCATTGTTTCCCCTTCAAATGGTGCATCACTGCTTAAGACTGCATAGTCTAAGAGTGCTTTCAATTTCATGACTGGCAGAGGTCATGTAAATAAACCATCTTATCTGCCAATCCAAATGCATTACTGATTAATGTCCACTTTGTTCATAATAACCTACCATTTCATTTCAATGACCCTATGTCACAGTTCATGAAATGAACCTCGACAGGTACATCATCATTCTGTAAATTCAGTGTCACCTAACCTAGTTGGTGCGGCGTCCGATCCAAAATCTTGAAACTAATGTGATCCCATGTAACTGAACACAAATCTAGCTGCTGATCTTGGCATAGAAACAGTGGAATATAAAGCAGCTCTTACTGGCTTGGTAATTGTGTTAGAAAAAAGTTGGCCAAGCAAATTGAGCTAGTTGCCCGGATGTTTCTTTCAAAAGGGATTCAATTGCTGCTTTTACAGGAAATTCACTATTGGAGCATGCTTCCTAGTTCCTATTAAGGATCTGGGATAGAAGTGAAGATAATAAATCATGATGACATGTGAGATCCTTCAATGTTCAAGGCCATAAATCAAGCTATCCATGAAGAACAGAGGGCCAAATTTGATATTCCCTTCAATTATGGCTACCACTCTAACAAAGATTTTCACGGAAGACAAATAAAGCCACAACTGATATACCTCGCTATGATGAACCATGCTGGGGTCAAGGGTAGAGCCAAAAATAAAAACAGCAAATGCTCGAAGAGCAAATTGCAAATGGTGAGCTGAAAGATGTGCCAAATTTGATTGTTTATTTGAGGAGTAGATGAATTTTTAGTTTTGGACATAAAGTCTGCATATTTTTTTATTGTTAACCCCATCCACCCAACCTACTCCAAATATGGTCAAGCATATTCTATCAGTTTTTGTTTGTACATGATGTATATGGTGTCTACAATTTCTAGATACACAAAACATTGAATAGTTTCCTCTTTAATGGCAAAATGTGAGTGTATGGCTAACCGTGCATCTTTTTTGTATAAGCATGGCTCTAGTTGCAAATGTGAAGCTATATAAGATTTACAAATCTTAAGAGTGGGGTCACATGCATAGTAGGAATCCACAGTGGCTTAAGTGCACAGGTAATTTAGTCTTTTTGCAGTTGATGTAATAATATACCACATGGAAAGAACCCTCTTGTGGTCTAGTCATTTTTCTGCTTGTTAGTTTACATCCTAGTTACTGTAAATAGAGAAATAAAAAGCATCAATCTATTTAGGCCTCGTCAATTCACTATATTGTTTCTGCAATGCCGGACTGACACATGCAAAGAGTGATGACCTCTGCTTTTGCTTCTTCAACTTCACTCCAAACAAGAAAGATCTCAAGGGAATCCTATTTTGATAGCTTTTGTTCTCTCTCTTTAGCCCGAGTTCATCGAGCTCTTGGAGAGTCCTTCTAATCTCTGCTTGCAGCCTCTCGACACGCTTAGCTCCAGTGTGTAATTCACATGCTACCTTCTTGTTCTCACGTTTCATGATAAGAACCTCACCTTGTAGTTTTGCAGCCTCATAGGTGCTCAGTTCACTCTTAGGGCCTTCTTTAGAAAACCTGGTTATCTCTTCCTTGAGGTTGCAAAGAGATGACAGCTTGTTCTGCAAGTCATCTTTCAGCACTGCACTATGTTCTAACCATAATGTTAACTCGGTCTGTATCTCTTTCAAATGCCTGTATATGGGGCGGATCTCAGAGAGCTGTTCCAGTGGTTTAGTGTCCATCTTCTGTATGTTGACCCTCTTCCTCTGCAGTTCGTCCTGTAAGTCTTTGACAGAGCTCTGAAACTTTCTTATCTGATGGAAAGAAGTGCTGAACCGGAGCCAGAATTCCATGTTCTCTTCCAACAATTCATCAATGTCTGTGTGTATCTTTTCTTCAATGGTTGAAAAATGATGGTTTTCATCAATGCTGTCCATCTTAAGATCCTCATACTCTTCAATGCTGGACATCTTCAAATGTGATATTGCTCCTTCTCTGGTAGGATCAACTCCAGGGAGAGAGATATCCAATAGTTCTGAGAGAGTTTTTCTATGCACTTCCTGACGCTTTGTGTTTTCATCTTTAGTCTCAAAGCCTGGTTTTGTTGACATTTCACTCGACCTTGGAGCTTCTGCTTGTTCCCCATTGAGCGAGTTTAGTTTAATCAGCAAAGCTTGAATCTCTGCATCTTTTAAGGTTATGGAATTTCTCAGTATTTTCATCTGAACAACATATTGAAAGTGGGCAGCCCTCCTTTTCTTTTCTGATTCATTGAGCTTCCTCTTTGATTCCTTGTAATTTCTTAGGACCATGATGTACTCTTCGAGTAAAAGTTTGTCTCTGTCATCCAGACCATTTAGAAACATTGCTCTCCAGTTTGGTTCGACGTCTTCTGCACCAAGTTCATCTTGCTCCACCACCGTGCTTAGATCTTGATGAACTCCTGCAAAAGAATGTTGATCAGTACTGGTTAATGGCATTAAAATGTCACCTTATTCTTCAGATGGGCGTAGATTACCTTCTTTCATATGTTCCTCTTTAGGCGATTCATCTCCTAGGACAGCTGAAGCGTTATGATCAGTGGCTGAACTCTCATTTGTTCCTTCTTTTTCAAACTTTTCATTTGTCTCTTGGTCCTCAGAAACTGAAGAGTTCCCTTCAAGAGCTGTTACTTCATGTTTGGTTTCCCCTGAAGAAGCATTATTACTCGCAGCTTTGACACAAGAAGGTTCATTGTTGATCTCTGCCTCTGGCAACACATTTAGTAGTTTCCCAGAGAGGTCATCAACTCTGCAACTCGCTTCAGTGATGCGCTTATATATGTAGTCGCTTTGATTGGTGATGGTTTGGTTCAGACCCTGAACTTTCTGAAGTTCTTCTTCAAGTTCTTTGATCTTGTTCCCCATCGTTTCTGAACCTCTGATAAACGACTCCTTTTCCTCTTCTGTCCTTTGAAGATGAGCATGGAGATTGTCTGCCTCTTCTCTTAGTCTGTTCACCAGGGCATTCTGGTCCACCACTGCAGTTTCTAAATGTATGATCTTATCCACAAGTTCATCAACTCTTTCTGCAAGACCCGACATGCTAAGGTGAGCACTTGCGCCGACCTGCATCTCTTCTTTCATCTTTTCGCGCAATGCCTCTATATCTATCCTTTCTGGAGTTCTAGCACCAGTAACCTCCGGCTGCCGGTTATCAGAATCTGATTTTTTTGGTTTCTCCAAATTTGGCCTCTGGATCGATTTCTCCTCCGTTGATGGTTTGTATCCCTCAAAAGTCTTCACAAGGGACTGAAATTTCAGACGGGCATTCTGGACCTTTTGGTTCTCGATCTTTGCCTCTTCATCAATCTTCTCTTGCTGTTCTTGCAACCGGTACAATGTCTCCTGGCAAGACTTTAGTGCAGTGGATGCCATTAAAGTCCGTGCCTCGTCGTCCTCGATAACAGTCCCTATCCCAAACTCATCCTGCAAGCACGTAACCCTTGCCTGCAACTCCGTGACTTGGTTCTCAATATCCCAATACTTGGCAACCCCATTTTCGTACGAGCTCTTCACAAACTCTTTCTCAGTTTGGAGTGCCAGAATCTGCTTCTGAGTCTTGTCAATCTCACGAAGCGCTTCGTCTTTGGTCAACCCTGATGTTGGTTTGGCATCATCACCATCTCCATCCAACTTGAGAAGCCCCTTCTTAGACATTAACCTTGATGTCTTCATAACCTTCTTCTTCTTGTTGTTGTTGGTTGAAGCAATATCTGGAATGCTCAACTTTGGGGCGGCTGGCAAATCATTCGGTGAGATGATTTTCCTATTCTCTGGAGGGAAGGTTCCGTTCTCGTCGTCCTCCTCCTCTTCTTCATCCTCCATGTTTAGCTGAACTCTTTCTGGGTAAATAGTGGCAATGGTTCTGTTGGCACTCTGAAGCTCTTTTGAAATATAATCATATCTCTCTGCTAAAGCTCTGTAACTCTTGAAGAAATCTTCCACAAAGTTGAGAAGCTCAGGCCTTCTTCTGTAGTACATTTCTGCCCTTCTTGCAAACGAGTCGCCATCCTCGTCTAGTATCTTGAGTATGTAATCTACCTTCTCCTCCATATCTGCAACCAAACAGTCAAGGTCACATCAATCAATAACTGCATTTTTTTAAGTATTTGCTTTTACTGCTTTTTTTTCCTTCCCATCCTCATCTGGTTTCCACCCCCTTATTGGGGTGAGGAGGAAGCTGTAAACAATGTGTATGGCTACACATAACAACACACTATGGCTTTATTATAAGAACCAAACATGAAAGGGAACACAAATAATTATAAATAATTAAAAAAAGAGAGATTCTCATATTCTTTACCAATTTCCATTTCTTGCCTGATTTAATTTCCCCTTCTATCGTTCCTATTGTATCAAATGAAATATTTACTACGCGACTAGGAATATTATAAGATTATCACAAGCACTATCCATGCATGACAAAAAAAATTGCAAAACAAAAGTTTCCCATGAACAAAAAAAATGGATTGGCGAATAAATTAAATAAATAAAGATCATATTGGGGGATTGGAACAATTTTTGCCTTGTAAATTTTGCTCCAGCCATTTTGACTGTTTTGTCCTTATATGGCTTGCACACCACCATGAATATGCATTTCTTGCTGCTCTCTGCAACATTTTCTTCTAATTGGAATGCCCCTCACTTGTTTACATTATCTCCAAAATATAGGAAATGGGAACATATGTCCAATGAAGAGAATTGTGAATATGAAAATAAAGAACAAAGAAATTCGTTCTTAATTATGGGATGAAATTAAAGATCAATTTGTTTAGGGTGATGTTCCTCCATATTTGCCAGATCTAGGCAAGATTAATTTAGGATACTTGGCCAAGGTGTGGAGGTTGCATTTCTTACTTAGAGAAGCACAAATGTAGGAACTCATTGATTGTCTGTCTGGCCAGCTGGCAAATCTTGAACCTGCCTAATAAATTGTTGACCTCTACCACATTTTGAGGCTTTAATTATTTTCCCCTTCCTTCCAAAAAAAAAAACTTTTAAAAAAATTGAGACAAAAGTAGATTTTTTTAGAATTATTTTATTTAAAAATTGGTGTACAATTACAAAATAAAATTTACATATCTTTTATATATAAAAACTTGACTTCAATTTCTAAAAAGAAGACATGTGACATTGCTTATGCAGTGCTTTTTAACACTTAATATGTCACCTAACTTAAGACATAAAAATAAGAAAGTAATAATTTGGTCTGAAATTAATGAGTAAATTTAATTGAAGAAAGAGATATTCATTTTTATGATAATATTGTTTCCTAATTTCGTATTTTAAAAAAAAATTCAAATAATATCTTATTTTCTTCACCTCTAAATAAATTTCATATTTACTTATGATACGTTTAAATAAAATTGGTCTGAATTCTACTTATATAAAAATTGATGTAAAATTTAAAACAAACAAATATCTTAAAACTAGAAATAAATTTTATAAAGGAATACTTTAAAAATTGTTTATAAAAGAATAAATGATTGAACTATAAAAAGGTTAAAATAGAGAAAACAATACAAGATATAATCTCATAATTTAATGGGAAAAGGAACAAACTAGGAGTAAAACATATGTCATATCCTCAAAATAGGAGTTCAAACTTAAACCCATCTAAATAGGAGTAATTAACTTAATTAATAAAACAAAAAAATGCTCTCCACCCGCACATTTTTTTTAAAGATGCATGCTACTATATTAAGTAAAGAGCACGATCAGATCATTTTAGATTATTTGCATTTATGTTTTTGAGTTTATCATTTTTTTTATTTTTTATAAAAATTTAAAATAAAGATTTTAACTTAATTAATAAAATAAAAAATGCTCCCCACACGCGCTGCATTGCGACTAATACCAGTGGTGGCCAAGTTCAAAACTAAAAAAATTCGGCCAATTTTACAACAACATGCTACAGACAACAACGCCCACCGCCGCAATCATCGTCGACGGTGATGCCCACCACTGCCACCGTCACTGCCACATACATCCCACTATCACTTGAATCTCCACCACCGCCGTCCTGTGCTCCGCCGCACCGCTACAAACGAAACCTACCATTGGCGCCTTTGATTTTACATCGTCACCAGCGACGACATCACCGCTCTATAACATTATCAACAACACTACCATCACAATCTGCACCATCGTCGCCACAGTGCCACATTAACAGTCAATACAGTGTCAAAGAACGACATAATAATGTTAAACATGGCACCATGTAATGTCACATATGACAATATATAATACCATAGATGCCCATATATAATGCCGCATATGCTCATATATGATGTCACAATGTTACACAATTACATATTGCCAAACCAAATCCAATGTCACTGTGTAGTAGATACTTGAAATGTAATAGTCTTCTAAAGCTCACTAAAAACATGCAACGGAAGTTTTACTAGTAGACCAATTAATCTTCATTGATGCTTCAATTCTCTTTACCTTTTTTACTATAGCAAAAAAAAACTAATTTACGGCATCATTTCGTATATATACGGCGGTGGCCATTAATAATGCATTGCTAAATGTTCCTTCTTAATAAAATAAAGACTCGATGGGCTGTTGTAGAAATGCATAGCAGCAGAAGATGATGAGCTGAGAACCTCTTGCAGGTGTTTTGTCATTCTTCGGATTCAGCTTCGGTTTTCCTGCTTTCATTATTCACATCTATTCATTCAAATTGAACAATCCTAATTTTGTCGGTTGATTCAAACATATATTTAATTAATTACTCCTATTTAGAGGAGTTTAAGTTTGAACTCCTATATTGAGGATATGTTCCGTGTTTTACTCTTATTTAGGGGGTTTTCTTTAATTTAATCGAGTATATTCATTTCATGGTTTGATATAATTACTAGATAATTTATTGTTTGTAATTCTTATACTCCGTATGATTTATGATTAAATTAAAAAAATATTATTTTGAATTATTTATTATTATCATATTTTTAATTGTATTATAGAATATATTCAATAAAAAATGTGTCACGTTGACTTATTATGTTTACATTATCAATCTTTACAATTTAACCACCATTGAGAAATTTTAATTATGGAATAGGATCTATTTTTTTATTAGAATACTAGTATTTAAATCATGTCATGCACGAAGTTGAACGAAAGTTTTTTGTACTCTGTAATTATTATTCATTGTACATGATTAAGAATTTGAAAAAAAAAAATATAATGCCAATAAAAACAAAAATTACACAAATTTTACAAATTTACCATTTCTCAATTTAAATTTTCACTTTTAAATTTGTGAATTCATTTGATTCTATTAATCAGGTTCATAAATAGAAAGTTTGTGATGTTTTGTGACAATTTTATTTGTGACTCTAACATTTCTCCTTTTAAGAAGAATCATTTTACATATAATGTAAGTTTAATATAATTAGATTTATTTTAAGATGTAATTTTAATATATTCTATTTCAAATTTTTATAACATTTATTCTATATTTAGTACCCATAAAGATTATATTTATTGATGATCAAAATGTGTACCCAAATTATTTTATTTGGAATTACTGTAATGGTCAAATTTTATACACCCTATTAGATAAAAAGTTTGTCATCCTAGAAACGAAAAATATTTGCACATTTTTTTATCATTTTATATTGGTTTCAGAATATTTATTGTCACTTTTATGAAAATTTCAAGCACTTTCTGTTTAGAGTTGAAAGGCTTAAGATTCTTCTGATTCTACTAACTCGCAAAAGGAGATTTAGGTTTAAAAATTTTAGGTTTCATCAACTTATCTCTAAAGTTTTCATATTCAGATTCTTCAAAATACTCTTTGTGTTCAGATTCAACATGTTCACTTACAGATTTAGAAATAAGATTTTCACAGTGAGGGAGCTGATTTTAAGATCCAGTCCCTTGATTTTCAGGGTGTAAATTAACCTGTTCCTGTGATACATCATTTTGAACAGAAACCGCCAACTCATCCTCTACCTCCCTAAGATTTTCAGGTTCTTTTAACATCTTATTATTCATAAGAACTATAGCACTAAGATTTGCCTTAAAATTTTGAAAAGGTTGGCTTAGCATGCAACTTATTTGCTTAGATTTCTTTCATATTCCCCAAATCAGTTTCCAAATCTCTAACCCCATTCTATAAGGTCTTGACATTTTGGTCCATGCCTTCTATTTTTTTCGAAATTGTTTCATAAAGCTGAGTATTTTTAAAACCAGGGGGTTCCCATATTGACTACAGGACTAATTATTTAAAAAACCAGGGGGTATGATATGGTTTGTCTGTTAGTACGATATCTCAAATTTGGATGGTCCTTCCATCCCTCATTATAGGTATTTGAATAAGGTGTTGGATATATGATCCCTAGAAGCCAATGTATGAGGGTATCTGAATATTTATCAAGAATAAAATGTCTTAAAGATTGTTTATACATCTAGTGTATCTAAACATGGCTTTAGTCCATAGGCTTAATGCTGCATAGATTAGAACTACGATGTTCGGATTATGAGACTGTTACATTAATAAAGGCTATATCTAAAATGTTCTTAGTCGAATATTATGATAATACGCACGTCATAATATACTAAGACTAATACGTATGAGACAAGATAGCTGCGTCTCAGAGGCTATGGATATTGAGATATCTTAATCTATACGTAGGTACATATCTGGGATATGGTACTAGACCGACCCACCATGAGAATACTACATGGGTATTATTTTGAATGTGTTAGTTGTATTCTCATTCGACCATTGCTTTAACTATCCTTATCTTTGAGGTCATTATGATCTTTAATATGTTGACCTATATGCTTTGATTCATATCTAATGCCATCTGAAATACTGGTAGACGTACAGTTATGTTTTGGGTATATAGTTAAACATATGTAAATTCATGAATGACGTAGAAAGAATTTATCCCCTCCATTGTGATGAAATTTAATGTCTTCGGGCCCACTGATTGATATGACTTGGGAAGTGTATGACTATACCTGGATAAATTAATATATGTGATATTAATGTTATTTGAATCTCAAGTCAATCTGAGAATCAGTAAACCAATGATTTAACCCTTAGAAGGTTACACTTCCCGTACCTTGTGCTAGATCTAGACATTAGTGATAAAGGGATAAGAGTTATACAAATTTATTTTGTCGTTAGAGGTATTGTTGCAATGAACTTTATGTTTATAAACATGGTTAACGATAATATGTTTGCTAGATACCACTTATTATTTATACTATTAATTTTGATTAATACTATTGTCATCGTTATGAATACCTAGAAGGGTCACACACATAGAACAATTGAATGGAGTAGAAAATTAAATGGCATGATGTAAATTAATATGGGACGTGTGACGTACATATCATATAAAAATTTTGACATTTTTAATTATGTGATAATTAAGTTTTTTAAATATTATGTGAGAAATAAAATATAAATAACTATATATATATATATATATATATGGTGATGTGAATACCGATTGTTAAATATATATTTAATATTTATTTTTGTCTTAATTATATATAATTAAAGTTGACAAAATAAATCATTATATTTTATGNTCCTTAATTCCTTAAAAGTTATCTAATATGATTAGATAATTAAAATAAATCCTTAAAAATTAAGAGATGGTCTCCATATGAAACACAAAAAGCCACACGCCACTTAGGTCTTCTTGATCTCCTCTTTGGCCGAAAAGTTCAAGGAAAATATACTTGATATTTTTCATCATCGTTCCAATTTATATTTCAATAATATAATAATATCCCAGGAAGAATTTACTAGCATA